TTTGAAACAGAATTTCCTTCATTAGAAGGATTGTTTAAATTTAGTACTTAAACATTTTGATGCAGTCACATCTGAAATACTTTAATTGGGCCCTTACGTGAGCCGGCTCTGTGCTGGTCAGTGACGCGTTCACAGGTGTGAGCCTTGTAGGAGCACATATCTCTCTTGAAGACAGCTGTTTGAACAAGTGTGTGTGAGAATGTGTTTAGGAATCAAGAGGATAGAGGAAAGTTGATTGCAAGTCAGGAAACCTTTAATCTGGTCCTTACTTCATCATTACTTAGTGTTGTACATTTAGAAAAATTACTTAACCTCTCACAGTTGAAATGAAGATATTGTGATCCCTCATGCATTTCAACACTGGAAAATGCTGTGATTCTGGACACCTCAAGGAGCAGCCTCGCCTGGCAACTGATGATATGACAGAATTATAGCTGCTGATTGGAGGGTATAATCTGTAGCTCTTTACAGGCAGGAATGTCTCTGATAAACTAAAAGAAATGGAAAGTTGGTCAATATTTACCCTGAGTGAAAAGGTTTTTCAAGTTTGTCTCCGGTGCTGTCACTGAGTATAGTGACACCTCCAGAATACACATAGGCAAGGGCTTAGAGGAGGACATTTATGTGGAATGGAAGGTCTTGAAGTTACTTTTGTATAGCATTTAACCTAACAATGTGATGTCAAGTGTCCAAATCAAAGTATGCAGGGAGGTGAGAGGTAAACAGAGAACTCCAGGTCAGCCTTTGACACAACGTCTCTGCTTTGAAATAATTAACATTTTATGTGAAAATATGTTTAATCCCTTGATCCTGATTCCCAATATGACTTCCTCATTTTATTGAGGATATGTCCCTTTATTTTTCCGCTTCTCATGCCTTATCCTAAGAAAAGATATAAGAAGACTTTGTTAATGCAAACATTATAGAATGTTCATGAAATAGGACACTATGGAAAAACTAGAATTACATCATTTAATGTAATCATATAATTGTAAGCATATAATTGCACTTTTAGATAATTATTACACATTATATTAATATAAATGTAATGTCTCACATTCAGAATGGACTTCTAAAAGACAACGATACATGTAAATGTCTGCACTAATTCACACTCTTTCACTCTACCACAGTTCTGATAAGCAGTCATTCTTTAGGCCTTATTTCTGGTGATAGGATATTCACTTAAGCAGTCATTCTTTAGGCCTTATTTCTAGTGATAGGATAATCACCATGCTGCAATAAAAATGACTAAAATTTATACAAGTATTTTTGAACATTTTACTTTGTACTCACAGTTAATTGTACTAACGCTTTTTATACATCATATTTTTATTTGATTTTCACTTCAGCTCAATGATAAATACTCTTTTTTATCACTGCAGATGGAGAGAATAAAATGAGGGAGATTGAACAACTTTTGTAAGGATACAAGTCTAGTAAATGTTATACTCTATATGAACCAAGTTATATGTGATTACAAACCCCTCAAGATCAGCCATTATATCATAACACCTCACACTTTACTTCTAAAAACAATAATGTCCCTTATATTAAAATTATTTTTATCCCTTTAATTCATGGATCTATATATCAAAAAGACTACTCCTTCTAATAAACGGCAGTATTTTATATAATTTCGGGACAGATGCTGTATAGCAATTCTAGTTCCCAAGACTGTCCTCATCAACATTGTTACCTTCCTCTGGAAATGACAAAATTTGTATTTACCTTATGTAATGACACCCATAGCTCCTGCATAAGTCTGTTTCTTATTAGAGACAACAATGGACTCAAAATTTTGAAATTCAATCATTTCAGTCATTATTTTAGGTTTCTCAGCA